CTAAAAGGTAATCCCCAACAGAAATATCAGTTCAAGGGCATTTGACTTTCAACATGTGTGAAGTTGGCTTACATCTACTAAAATTTCAGAACCAACATCTGTCAATGAACCCCAAATGAAGGTTTAAATAATATAAAATGTGCATGTCACATCATATGGCAAATCATTCTAATAAGTTTAAAGTGAACCCCCATCCCTAAAATTAGGCCAACAAATCTGCTGCTGAGCATCTAAAGTTTAACATAACATTTAAAGACAACAAGAGGCCTATTGGTATGTAGAGTTTATTTCATCCACTCAACAGCTGAAAAAAAGCAAAATCTGAACCTAACCCCAATCATTTAGATATGTATCAAGGCTCCTTTTTAAACTCCCTTGGAGGATAATATCGTAGATGGGGCCAGACCAGGGCTGTAACCCTATTTGGACCTAAGAGCACCTTACAGGTTTTGAGAGTACACCTGCATATTAACTTTCAAAATTTAAGTAAGAGTAATGATTCAAAATATTTCAATAATTTTTAACTCCAAAATGTTGTAAAATTGACATTTTATTATTATGTAACATTTATTTATATTATTTGGAAAAACAAAAGAAAAATTTCCAACTTTCACTTCTACACAATTTCAAGGATTCTCTCAGGTAAAAAATGCATATATAAATCTTTGTTACAGTTTTTCTGCTCATTCCAAATTATAGGTTTATATTTGTTAAGAAATTATCATCTCTTGAAAATATAATTATTCATATCTTGTTTTTCACAAGATTTATCTTCTGTTAGTGGTTTTATTTTTACAGCTCTTTGCTGCCGTTCCTTTCTCATGTTGCAGTGTGTGGTCTGAAAAATTATAATGAAGCTCATCTTTAAAATTAGTTGAAGCCATTGGCTAAATACCATACACTTGAAGAGAGCATATTATAAACTATGTACCTCAATGTAGAGTAAATAAAGTAGTTCGTTTCAGCAATAATTTGTAGTTTGTTAAGATTCTGACTGCCTAAAGCTTTTGGAGGGGTAAACAAAGGAATCTAAAAGGAACATCAGAAGACTTGAAAACAAACCAGAAATCTGGGAATATAGAAATTTAGTACTTATATATGAGTCTTGTACATTTTTTTTTTCTCAAATTCTTAATCAAAATTAACTCGTTTTTTTAGGGGTGCTTTTGATACCTTACTTAGCTTTTAGTTACTTAATGTATATAATTTAGAACATGTCCTAAAACTATTATAATTTATCCATTTTTCTAACTAAGCTATATATGTATATTAAAATATTTTCCGTACTTGGTCAAAGCAATCTTGGTGATAGTAAGCTATAAAACTGAAGCATAATAATTCAAAACTGATTGTGAGGATGACCTACTCTCATAAAGAAAGCAATAAATTAATATTTTCTATTTGTGCTGATCAAAAATAATCCAACAGCAAATGTTGAAGAGAATATTTCACATTTTTTAAATACAGAATATGCATTAAAGTAAGAAGAATAAATACCATAAATTTCCATTTTAGCTTGGGAATATCTAAAATTTAAGTGTGTAAGCCATCAGAAAATCAGCTTAGAAAATAATATGGAGGGGAAAGAAATTCTAACGTTCCAATTAGGTGTAAAGAAATGACATAATTTATTTAAATATTTCCTTTTGAAATTAAGTTGAAGCTTAAGTTAAAATTTGAATTGGAAAATACATTTTGATGTCAAGTTTATTGACATTGATAATAAACTAGTTCAATTAAATTTTGAATGAAATTTTGTAAAAAAGATCATGACGTAAACACTTTGCCCTACCCATATCTAGATGGTTAATAGTCAAAAACTATCAGATATGACTTATTGATTTCTGCAATTAAAGAAATATCAGCAAGATTTTAAAACTTGTTTGATTGTTTTTATACTAAATATTCATTTAAAGTTTCATAAAATGTCTTTGTCCTTTATTTATTATTTTTAGATTATTATTTGAAGTTAAATACAAGTATCATGTTTTTGACTAATTGGTAAATTCAAATTTAGTAATAAATAATAAAACTTTGCATTTGTATCTTTAGGTATTTCTATTTGTTTACTCTTTCATTTGTACTAAAACATCAAGTTTCACACAGTTATTGTTTAAATAGGCTGTAAGTTACAAATTAGCTACAGGAAAGTAACAACTGACCAAGCAGCATCCTTGTCTGGTCACATGGGATCCTTAAGACTTTACTTCTTCCTTACAGATATCTTCTGTTGACATTTTGTCCTTTGTCTTTTCATTATTTTTCACTCTTTCTCTTCTTCATCGGTTTCAAAAACTTTGTTGAATAGATGGTGAACTAAACTTTCTATTTTTTTTGTCAGTCAAATGTTGTAATAGAGTATGACCAACTTTCCAACTTCAGTCACTTTCTGTTTTAGAATGAATGGTTGTGTACACAAACAATTTTTCTTCAGTAAGTGAAGTGGCACATGATGTTAAGTTTATTGTCCCTTTACACAGTGAATATTCACCTGAAGTATCCACATACATGATTCTTGAATGTAATTGTGTACGTTCTGTTCATCACTGCTTGATTGATTGCCTGGATATAACTGTGTTCCTTTAAAATCTTAAATTTCATCCCAAGAACTAAGCACGTGTAACATAGTTAATGAGATATCTCACTAGTCACTTTTGTATTTAGTGTTTTTTCTATTTAATTTCATTGTAAATAAATTTAGGTTTAAATTTCCATAGTAATTTATTGCTCACTGCATCAATCTTTTTGTAATCTCATTTCTAAAATTGTGTAAAATTTTGTTTATTAAAAGAATCTACTACTTTCTGTAATTCTTTGTATGATTTAAACTTTTTCCCTACAAGAACTTCCCTTTTTCATACATTTTCATGTATTTACCCCTTCGTGCATGTTTGCAGACTACAGTACCAGTATCACATGGTGTTTTAGATCATTTCTAGTTGCCACATTCTGAAGAGGAATTTTATCAGAAAAATGGCCTTTTTCTTGACCTTGTTAACATTTCCCTGTGCTTCCATGAAAACATTTAGTTACAGTTCTTTTCTGAATGTTTTAAGCTTGTGTATTACAGGAGTTATGTTAATGACACTTTTGTAGTGTTTAACAGTGCTGAGTTGGGTGACAAACTTCTCCAGTGTTTAGATGGTAAACGTCCCAATATAACAATATAACGTTTACTGTAGAGGACCAAAAGAATAACAAACTCTCATTCTTAGATGTTCATGTCCTAAATAACCACTGAAGTGTATCATAAACCCACATTTACTGGATTTTATTCACATTTTGAAAGTTTCACTCCTTCAGTCTTTAAAGAAAATCTAATTAAAACCCTGATATATAGAACATTTAAAATATAAGGAAATCAAAACCTTTCTTGAATCAGAAGGTGAAAGCATTAAATAAAACTTTAGAAGAAATTGTTTTCAGTTGTTATTTCTAAATATAATATTCCACACAAAAACTGAAAACTAAGTAACCTATCTGTTGTTATGTCAGATATTTTGAAGAAAACTCTAACTGTAGTCGAATACTTCTTAGGCACTATTTCATGTGTAATTAAGAAGAAAATTAAAAAAAGTATTAAACAACTATATCTACAAATTCAGTTAAAATATGTCATTTAGAACAGAGTAGGTTAAAAGAGCTCTTTAACTTTAAAGACAAACAACATCCATTAAATACCTCGCTAGTGGTGTATGAGTTCAAATGCCAGATGTGCAACATGGGATATATTGGATCAACTAATAGAAGATTCTGCAATCAAATAAAATAAAATTGTAAAGCTGAAACTCATAACATATTAGTATTATTAACCATTGTTTAAATGAATGTAATTTGTACCTACCCCCAGTTTCTTACACATCATCCTCCATTCCTGGGAAGAATTTCACTTTAGAATGCTAGAATATCTTGCCATTAAGCAAAGAAAATCATCTCTTAACTAGAAGATGAGCATACTGCCACTACATCTTTAATTGTAAAAATTTAAAGAAATAACAGAACATTAACTTTGTCTTCAAACCTTGTTTACTGTTTTGAGCAAAGAGACTGTAGTCCCTTGTAACCTTATCAGTGAAGTTATTGACCTTTTTTATTATGTTAATGAATTTGATCATCTTTTTAAAAAAAAAAACTGACCATTTATCAAGATGCAATTTTCCTGTTCTTCCTTTTGAAAAATAGGTTTTTGGCTACTGTGTGATTTTAAAAGGAATTCATTCTTTCTTAGTATGTTTTGTTTGACTAAATGAACAAAAAAGATTCTCCTAAGCTTTATATAGTTTTTTTTACATTTAGTTTTTTTTCATGCATTTCTACTGTCTTAAACTCAAAATCTTCAGATAAAGAAGTCTATAAAATTCCATTAAAAACAATTCTTCCCATATTTTTCATGTATGTGAACAAACTTTCATATTAATTTTCTTTTTTTTATACTGAATTGTGTTGTTCTCTCTCTCTCTTTTTTAATTTTTATTTACCTTCAACATCAGGAAGGCACATATTCAAAGTTTTGTGTTTTATGGTATAGATTCCTGTGATTTATGGACATGAGACCTTTCTCTTCAACTCAAATGCTTATAGCATACACTATGCATATGCTAGTTGTACAAATCTTCTGGAACATTTTTATTTGGAGGGGATATACAAATATTTAATTGTCCTTTTGTTGATTTTGAGGATTCTTCAGTTGTCCTTTGTAAGATACTTTTGTGATGTGCATCAGCTATAAAAATATTCTCTCCAGATCTCCATTACTGAAGTCTGGTCTTAGAAGTAGCTACCGTAAGTTATATGTGTCTTTTTGTCTACCTTACTTTTCTTCTGTTATCAAGATCTTCACTTGGGTGGCATAGCCTTTGTACTTTTTTTTTCTGATAAGGCCCACTATAAGGAAAACCTTTTTATTTGACTCTCTGACATGTACCTTTCGTTTCATACAAGTAAGTTCTATATTTCAGGTTTCAATTCATTTTCCTTTTTTTGGATAGGGAATTCCATCCACGACACTAGTACTCAAACTACTTTGAAAATATCTTTTTGTACTTTTCCAGCCCTTTTCCTTTGATGAGTGTCTTCTCCAGAATTATTACTTGTGGAACCTTAGATTTTTCTTGCAGAATGAGCCCATTTTGCCTTTGATCCTTAATTTTTTCTTTGTTTTTGCACCAGGGAAGTATAGTTCTGACTTTGTTTTTCACTGAAATGTTATGTTTTTTAGATCCTTCATTTTACGAAATGTAGGCTTCATGGGTGATTGACTGCTTTACTCTTTATTAAACTTTATTTGCTTTTGTGTACTTCTGATATGGTTCTATGGTTACGTCCTATTCAGTTGTTTGTTAATATATCTAAAGTTGATATTTTTATAATTCAAATCAACATCAACAAGTGTAGATACTTTTTGCTGTATACAATTACCATTCTTTCCTTCCCACTTTTGTTTTAATCTCAAATAGAATAACAGGCTAGGAAAGTGGGCTTACGTTAGTCATATTTTGAGCATGTGGAAAAATATGACAGTTATTGAATGGTAGAGGGGTTTTGTTCTAAGTGAGGTGTAGCGAGTGAAAATATGGACTTGACACCATAGACTTTGTGCAGCCCTTGACAAATATTTTGAGATTTAGGAGCCAACCCAAACACCTAGAAGCCAGGTTCAATATCGAAAAGTTATGGAATATGTTTTGGGTTGGTTGTGTGGTTATGGTACAAGGCATACAGTTTTACACTAAAAAACAAAGGGTTAATTATTAAACTTTATTATTTATCTATATTAAAATTAAACTTAAATATGTGCAATTGTTAAAATAGTAGACTAAATAACTATAACTTAGGTGGATTCTTGTAATGTATGAAAGTAAAATAAAAGTAGTCACTGTTATAATGATAGGCCAAGCATGTTGTTTCAGAATAGGTCTAATCTACTCATAACTACAACACTGTACAATGATAAGGAAAGGCCTTTTGGTGTGCCTAACCTAACTTCACTACTGTTTGTACCGGGAAATGGGGGCTATATTTATTTACTTTCACAGCAATGAGTGCATGCTAACGATCATATGGTATCAACAACCACTTGTTAGTTTTGCCTGAACAAACTGCCTTTGGTCCCATCTGAGTCTTTTAATTGAGAGAAAGAAGAAAAACAAAATGGCATGAAATTAGTAACACATTGTGCAACTGCAGCTCTTCATCTCTGAAAAACTTGAAGTGCTGAATCTGCCATTAAAATCCTAGAAACAAAGTTTGATTTCGGACTCAGATAACATGAAAATAGTTTCTAACTTTCAAGAGTTCAGAACTGTTCTAGATTTGAATTCTATTTAGCACATCCCTACACACGAATAAAATGGGAGAAAATACTATTTGCCATGATGAAATTCTTTATTGCACCTGGCACCTGGATTTGTCAAGGGCTGGCTTAGTGCAATTGTAAAAATTGTTATAGTTGGCTGTTTTTATATAAAATTAATTTTAGTTATAAAAATAACGTCTTCAATACTAAATGCGAGATAGTATCACTATCATACAGATATCATGTAAAATAATGTTTAACAACACTGAAATACAGGAGCAACTAACTTCAACAGTATGATGCCATCCTCCATTTTTTGCTTAATAAACAGTTAACCATATTAAAGATGTCTCTTTGTATTAGAATGAATTTCTTTATGTGTATAGCTAGCTCTCTTCTACCCACCCTGATGGTATGATGTGTTACACATAACATCTCTGTTTTTGTTTGCTTGAAGTGTAGTATGTTTGAAAATTGTTATAATTTTAACTACCAAGTTTTACGGAAAGAGATCTTGAACAAATATGATTGTCATTTTGTTCAGTAGTTTGCTAATATATAATGGAAGTTAATTAGTATTTTGATTTGAATTATTTGTTTTTATTAATTGTTAAGGTATGGACAAAAGTTAACATTTAAAGAAAAAGGAAAGGCTTGAAGAACTTGCTGAAAACAAATTTATATTTAAAGAATAAAAAATGTGGACCATACACACACACACACACACACATTTACATATATATCTATATTACAAGCAAATTAGGCTATAGTGCATTAATAAGTCTGTTAAAGTAAGTTTTTGAGTTAGCAAGATTCTTAGGCAATTTGTATGTTATCATCAGCCACTTAGTTCACTCATTAGATATAAATTTTGGCACACTTTTTCAGTTTTGTACATAACTGTCATTTTTTTATTGTATTTCAGGTTGAATCATTCATCTTAGATCAAGCAGACTTGGATGAAGAACCAGTACTGGATAATACATCAAAATTCTTGTTACCTGGAGAAGGTGCAGAAACCCTAGAGCTGCATAGTATAGATCCAGAAACCAGGGCAGAGTTAGAAGCTTTTTTTAAAGTACCTGGCGCATGTGAGTATATTTGTAGTCTCTAATAGTGAATATGACAAAAGCTAGTACAAAATACAATTCTTACATGTATGTTCCAAGATATGTATGATTGTTCCAAAACATACATACCTCCGCTGACACTAATAGCTATTTCTCGACCTTCATTTGCCATCTAATGTTGTGTTTGCATGCTCCAGTCTTTATATACCTCACTTGACTGTCCTCAGCAATATCTAATTTGCAAAACTTTATGCTGGCCCTCACATGCCCTATATGCAGGTACTGTATATAAGCACTGTATGCAGACAATAAAATCACTTTTTTCTTCATAAAGTGCGAGCATTCAGACTAATGTTTTGTGATTTACATTTTCTTAGTTTTCGCATTCTGATAATCGGGAATTCTTTGTTTTGTTATCCAGAGATATATTTTATTGAATCTGTTTTTAGTTTTTTCCTACAAATATATTACAAAAAAAAAATTGGATATGAATTCCCATGTAACGGTTTCAAGCATGGAGGCTACTTAGCCATCGTCTATTCCCCCTTTGTTATCTAGTGGTGGTCAGCAGTCGGGGGGGGGGCACTCTCTGTGGAAGCTGTCCATAACCGGAATCGGGGTGAGATCGAGTCCTTCATGCAGTCCAAGGATATTTCTCCGGGAGGTGGTGATTTGAATTTTCATTCTGAAACCGGGTATATTCTGGGGATAATTTAGACTCCCTGTTTCCTGCTCCTTCTTTCACTAGAGCTTCCTCTCCTGAGGACTCATCTGATCAGTCACCTTCTGCCCATTTTTCTGCAGTTAGTTACACGTGTTTGTGAAGTTTTGGAGATGCAACCAGTTGCTTGTGAGTCTACCCCTGCTTTGTTGTCCAATCGTTCTCAAGAGGATTACTTAGTTTTTCTCCTCCTCCTGATATTGCTATGCATGGAAGGAGGTTTGCAATACAATTACGTGAGGGTGTTGTTATGCTCCTCCCCCTCATTTATCTGAACAACATACCCTGGCATGTCGTCAGAGGATGATATATACTTAGACACTAAAAGGTTGGATACATTGTTGGATCTATGGGGTGACAGGTACAAACCTGTTATTTCTCTTAACAGGTTGCAATTTTTGCAGATTCATTTCACTCTTACTACTGTTTTAAGGTACTTCTCTTCCCTTCAACTTTAGTCTAAAGCATATCACCAATCACTTCAACAATTTGATGACGAACTGGACCATTTACTGGTCACTATTATGACATGTTTGTCCTCTTCAGGACTTGCCTTGGTGGCATGGTTGGTCTGTTGCTGAGACTTGTTGAGTTGTGATGCATTTTTTGGAGGGTATTCACTTACCTTCTTCTGTCCTTCGAGATTTACAGGAAGCACCTTTTTTTCAGCCTTATTTATTTGCTGGAATTCCAGAATCTTTAGCAGCCAGAGTTGTTACAGTATGTTTGCAGTTTTTTTTATCGTCTTTACTGCTCGATCCTATTCTACTTCCATTTGTAGTTCTGCATATTCATCCCCTCGTGTCTCAAGGCTCCCTCCTTCCACTCCTCATTCCATTGGTTGTCTTAATCGTTTCCATCCTTCTTCTCAGGAGATATTTTGTGGGCCGGTATGTGGACTTCTTCTGACAAGTTCATATCTCATTACATTCACGATCTGACAGATTCCTCTTCGTCATCCCCCTGTGGCTGTGTTGACTACTTCTATTAGATTTTAACAGGGGGGGTGAGTAACGTGTTAGCAGACTTAGTTATTGTTCCTTTCTTTTCTAGTGTCCCTATTGATTTTTTTTTATCCCACTCATTGGCGAGTGTTGCCCAGTCGGGTATGCTTGTATTTAAATTCTGCACTAGCAACCTTTATATTGGTTCCTGGCTCCAATGGGCTCTGTCGAGATGAGGTGTTCCATAAGACTATCTGGACACAATCCTGGATGGTGATATCATATTACATTTCTAATGAACTGCTACTATCATGAGTAAAGCTGAAGGGGATTTTGCCAGTCCCTGCTGATCTTAGAGCTGAATCTATCAAGATCAATTTTCTTTTAAGAATTAGGGAACGTGGTTCACCTGTAGTACTGTTTCCAGAGAACTGTTCCTCAGGACACCCAATGCTTATGTTCCCCTCTTACTTCTACTAGTGGAGCTCGGGATTCCTTACCACACCCAGTTCCCAGTCACTGGGGTGATGGACATAGGATTTACCTTTGGAGTATTGAGTTTTCTCCACTCTCAGAGAAGAGGGCAAAGTTGGGGACCCTCCTACCTGGGTCCCTGGTAGTTTTTTCCCAGATGTCGGTAGGACCAACCTATGCAGGAGCCTACTCATAAAACCAGTCAAGATTTGACGATTAGCTATCTGGTGGGGGGTGCTCGGACCCTCTTACGAACAGTGACAGGTCTTATGTTGTTCATGCAGGGTGTCCACCATCTCCTCGTGAGTAGGAAAAGTACCTAAATATCTGCTATTTCTTGCAGAATGTTATGAAACTACAGTACAATGTTATTAGTAAGTACATATCCTAAAATTTATATTGTCATGACATTCCTGATTCCAACAAAGACTTTCTGGAATGATATTTCTTCCCATCCATCAGACTTATACTATAGGGTATTTTTACAGTGTTATTGATATTTTGATCTGAAATTCACCAGATGAATTCTCTTGTTAGGTATTTATTTTACTAGAAAACTGGTGAACTTATAATTTTACTAAAATTATTATGCCACCTTAATGAATATTAAGAAAGAGCAGTTTGTAAGCATAATGATACTTATTACAGAAAACACTAGAAGTTTCAACAATACCTTGGACTGTCTTTTTTAGGTATGACACAAAACTAAGCATACATGGCTTAATATACAAAGACGATGTTTGTGAAACCAAGGATTGTATACAATGATGTATGGGAATACAAGGTTTATAAATAAACGAATGTTGTCATTTAAGGTTGTTGAACTTTTACAAGTGAGGTTTAAGAGGAGGAAATTTTCAATGTTGGTCAAGCGTGGGAAAGAATACTAAATCAATAAAGTCAACCAAAGTTTACTAATGTCAGCAGGACCATTGTTATGGTTTAGGACAAAATCACCTGTTTTCATAATTTCAATATTTTTAAACAGTTACTTTCTATTCATTTTTGGGTTGATATAGGAGTTTTCTCAAAGTATGCTATGCCCAGTTTCAAACTTATAATGAGTAAATGCAGATTCTTAATTTTGTGCTGCTCTTTATATTTGTAATATTTTGCTCGCCACTATCATTGAGGCTCCCACCTAAACTTGCATATTCCCATGTACTATTGCAGCACTGTAGCATGCAAATGAACATGTGACAACCGTTCACCAATAGGAGTGCAATACACCCTCCTATTACAGTTGATTCTCTATGTACTAATCGTTCAATCCTCACTTCTCAATTTGACACTTGCATGTTGAGATATGTTTTTTGCTCATGCAAGTGGTTAAATTTTTCGCAATTTTTGAAAACATTTTTTTGTTGTCTTTGACTATTTTGCCCCTTTGGTCAAGGCACCCTCCTTCCTACTGTCCACCAGATGTTGGTTCCTGGTGATCAAGTATTGGTTGGAACCAAACCAGCCACATAAGTCCTCATATGTGTTTGGATGGTACCCACCTGTTACCATGGACTGGACAAAAAATTCCCAATTCCTCCAGGATTTGGACTGTAGATGAACACCAACCTGGGCTCTTCACCTTCCTACTGTCTGCTGGATTGTAGTTCTTGGTGAATCTGGTGTTGGTTGTGTTGGAGGTACCTGCATGCAGAGGTGGGCTCTTGTTACGGAAGCTCCTCTTCCGTTACATTACTATAACACATTACTAAAGGGCGAAGAGTATATCTGGCTCAGAAGTGGTGTGGTCTCCCTCTGGTGTGTTGTCTTTAATTCTTTCTAACACCACATGGTTTTCCTTTGGGTACTTCCTAAAGGGGAATTATCTTCTCACCAGCCCTCCATTGGTTCATTGTGGGATTCTAGGTTTTTGTGGTGAAGAGGTAAGATATTGTATTGGCAATTAACATTTTCCAGAAATGAAAATGTATTTCCAATAGATACTTATCTCCGCTCACATTTCCCACCCGTTCACCCCACTTCCAGTGTGGTTTGATCTGACCAATTTTGAAGTGGTTAATAGTTGCAAGGTTAGAGAGGGCACTAGTTATGATAGGAGTAGTGTCACACTCCTATTGGTGGAGGGTTGCTGCATAGTCATTTGCATGCTAGTATGCAGAAATAAGTGGGAGTATCAAGGCTAGTGGTGAGTAAAAAATTTTGCCAATAGAGGGCAGTATAAGTTGAGAAAGCTTTTTGTGAGGTAAGTATCTATTGGAAACACATTTTTAGTTTAAGAGTATGTTAACATTGGTGAAATGGTGCCTTCCACCTAGAAGTATAGCTTCACTGGATGCCAAATTGTTGGGATGTATGGATGGAAAAAAGATCAGAACCTAGAGAGCATTTGGGATGGGAGGAAAATCTGCATTAATCATACACTGCACTTACAGGGTGGATGCATATATATATATATATATATATTGGGTGGTGGAATGCAGGAATGGGTAATGCAGTTTTTTCTCCCATCCCAAATGCTCTCTAGTTTCTGATCTTTTTCCTTCTCTACATTTTTATTACTAGTTATAAAACAACTGCCAAGTAGGCCAACTGTGATTCACATTCCTTCACATTTATTGCTGTAATATTCTAAACATTCCTTTTAGTAGGATGTTACTGCACATTTTTCAGACCATTCTTTAATGTACCTCATAGAAATTTAACCATTTTAAGTTAACACACTTTTTTTTTCAAAATATGAGAGAAGCGGAAGGAGTGATCTAGTAATTTCCAAAAGACTAAAAACTCCAAATTGCTACAACTTTCTAATGACTTCAGTTTCACACATCATAGGCTTATAGTAAATTCTAGAAACTCTAATATAAGAACAAAGGATAAGCCTAAAAATAACATGAAAAAAAACAAAAATAGACCACTTTAAA